TGACTACTTTGGGTACACCAGTAGAAACCGGAAACAACTGAGAAATACGGTCACCTATTTTCACTGACATTTGACGACCGGTGTGGTAAGAACGAAGCCAATTAAGAAGGAGACCATGATGGAAGCCTAATCGCTCTTATTTGGCAACAGCAATCTTGTGGTTCATTTTATCAAACGCAGCAGAGAGATCCGCGTGGATAGCATCAACTTGTTCGCCTTTTTCAAGCTCGCGAATTATAAAAGATGTGTTTTGCACGAGATTTGATGCAGTGAATCTCTTCTGCATACATCCATGTTTTTCGTAGGCAACTTAACTGGAGCAAATGTGTTTAAAATAATCCAAAACTATCAGCTCAAAAAGTATTGAAACTGCGCACAAAGCCTGCATAGTTGATTACTGACTGTTTATCGCCTTTCTTGAAGACAGGAAAAACGAAGGAATTCTTCCAGACATCAGGGAAGATTCCAGAATTCAACGAGAGGTTGAATATGAATGCTAGTGGTGCGCTCAAGACCCCTATACAGTTTTTAATCACCACAGACGGAATTCCATCAGGGCCAATACTGGAAGAATTTATTAAGCGAAGGCCTGCTCTTTGGACGTCATTTCTCGATAAAGGTGGATAAGATTCAACAACTGAACGTATGGGAACCTCACTTGCTGCATTATAAACGTGTTCGTCAGAGAGCTCCTCGTTGACGAAAACACTGCAGAAATGTGACCTGAATAGATCTGCGATACCATCCACATTAGACATTTCTCGATCCCTGTTGAACATCGTGGAGGGCAGACCCGATTCCTTTCGTTGATCTTTCATGTGATTCCAGAAGCTTTTAGGATTAGATTTGAGCTTATTTTGGAGTTGACGCTGGTGTTCTAGGTAAAGTTGCTTGTAATGCTTGTTAATGCGAATGTTTTTCTTTCTCGACACGTCAGTTTGCAGTTTGCAAAACGTTTTCATAGATGATTTAAGACATTTCAAACGAGGCTTTGACCATGGTGAGTTGGTATGACTGGAGTTTTCATCGGTACGAACTGATCGATTGCATAAACAACAGTGTTCGTTAAAAAAGTCGAGGAAATATTTACGTCATGATCACGCAGTTCTTCATCTCAGTTTATGCTCTCGAAAAAGGCAGTCATTCCATCGAAGTCATCCTTCCAGTAGTCATATGAAATGCTATCCATAGTGTTACGAAAAGAAAATGCCTGGTTCAATTTCAATGATATCTGCAGAGGTGGATGATGCCTACAAGGCTTAACTAGTGGTAAAGGGTGTCCACGATGAAATTGCCACACTATGAAATTGCTCTAACTTTTTAACCGTTGGGTAGAATTTAATGAAAATTTGGGTGGATTTAGTTCATAGTGCATTATTTACATCCTGCAAGTTTTAAAGTCCTGTGATCAAAACTCGCGGAAATGGAGTCGAAAGAACAGCTCGTGCGTGATAAAATCTTGCGCATTCATCACGAGAACAAGGATCTCTCGCATCGTTCCATCGCTAAAACGTTGGGAATCGCGAATTCCACGGTGTCGCGAGTGATTAAGCTGTTCGAGGAACGGTTGACCACCGATCGGAAGCCCAGAAGTGAAGGAAAAAGTATTCCGTACAACACCAAAAATCACAACCGCGTAGTTGGGGCCTTCAACCGAAATCCGAACGCCTCCGTTAGGGATGTGGCTAAGAAGCTGCACCTAAGCCAAAGTTTTGTCCAGAAGGCCAAAACTAAGGCTGGGCTTCGAACGTTCAAGGTACAAAAGGCCCCTAATCGCGACGAGAAGCAGAACAAGTCCGCCAAAACCCGTGCCAGGAAGTTGTACCTCAACATGCTGACGAAAGTTGAATGCTGCATCATGGACGACGAAACATATGTGAAGGCCGACTTCAAACAGATCCCCGGCAACCTGTTTTTCACGGCCAAGGATAAGTTCAGCGTTCCGGAGCATGTCCGCACTCAGAAGATGTCCAAATTTGCGAAGAAATTCCTGGTTTGGCAAGCCATCTGCACGTGCGGGAAGCGGAGTGCACCTTTCGTGACCCAGGACACGATGGACGGACAGGTGTACATAAAAGAGTGCCTCCAAAAGCGGCTGCTTCCTCTCCTGAAGGCCCACAACGTCCCAACAATCTTCTGGGCGGATTTGGCCTCATGCCACTACTCCAAGGACGTGCTGAAGTGGTATGCGGACAATAAGGTCAATTTCGTGCCGAAAATGTTCAACCCTCCCAACACTCCGGAGCTCCGCCCCATCGAGAAGTACTGGGCGATTATGAAGCAGCACCTTCTTAAACGACCTAAGGTAGTGAAGACAGTCGAGGAACTGAAGAAAGTATGGGTTTACATGCAAAAAACGGTTGATTCACAGGTTGTGCAGAATCTTATGGCTGGGGTTAAGGCCAAGGTGCGGGCATTTGCGTATGGACTGTAAATAAAATACGAGTAAAATGGTAAAATGAAGTTTAATAGTTATTTCTCAATCCCTGAAAATTTGATGGCAATCGGATGAAAACTCGAATTTTGCGAATCAATTTTGTGTGTGGCAATTTCATCGTGGACACCCTTTACAGGCGGCTCATAAATCGAGCAACTAGAAGCATCCTCACGGCTAAGAAAACATAAATCAAGCAATCGATCATTCTCACTTGAATATGATCCAAAAGAAAGAGTTTAAGTGTTGATCAACCAACTCGGAATCTCCAAGGCGGTCCGGGGGCAGATACAGCACACAGACGAAAACCACTTTCGATTTTTTTTTCCTTGATTTGTTTTCCGTCGATCTTGTTTTCCGTTCTGAGCACCAATGCTACCGACGCCAGGATTGTAGAGATATGGACACCCACAGTTGTTCGACACCAGTACAACTAGGTGGATGGAGCTGCCTAGATTGAAAGACTGATCGAACAGCAAGTAGAACTCCACCACCAGAATTTTTGGGGCTCATTTCTCGAGAACGGTCAGTAGTAGACAGTAAAGTCCAAACCAAATATTTGTCAAGAGAGCGTGTTGCTGTTTAAACATGTTTCCGAAAAGGCGTAAATGTCGTAGCAAGCATCCGAACAAGCCAGTTTGTACTATGCTACAGATGTGTTTATGCCACCGACATTCTGGTAGTAGAGTAGTACCGCATCATCCTGCGTTTTTGTTGCGTTACGGTTGTCACACTGACAAAACTGGGCCAAAAGTCGTTACAAATAAGTCAATAATGCGTTTGGTACGATACTTCTGTTCAAAATCTACCGAACGAAGTCAATAAGAATGTGTGATATGAAAGTTTGCACTAATTATTCTCAAAAATAAAAGAGGCAGAGCGCCGAATCGATTTTTATCTTCATCCGATAAGCCGAAGTAAATCCAATTTAATTCAATGGCGTTTCAATGCGTTAGGCTAAGTTTGGGGTCAAGAAGCAGTGGTAGATTTTTAACAATATCTCAACAATGTATTGCTCTTTATCAAGTCTTACGATATGTACGGAAAGTTAAATAAATTTGGAAGACATCTGCAGTGAGAACATTTCAATATTGTGAAAAAAATCGTTCGAAAAATAGAGGCAAAGGGTGGGTTGTATTAATCCCAAAATTAGTCAAAGCCCTATACAGAAATCCGTTTTTTAATGCCGACTGCAGACCATTAGTCATCAGTGCATCTTTTCCGGATTTCGTTCCGAACATCCGTAAATGCAGCAAGTATTGTCATCCGTGCTTATTTTGCTGCTCATCTTGGGAAGATTCAATGTCGGTATTGCCAGTTGCATTTCAGTTTAACGCGATGATCTAAAATATATAAAATAATTTATGCAAAAAACTACTTACTTTCAATGATGTCCGTCGAAATTAAATGTTCCTTACATATCGTTTTGATTCGCTCACCGGATAATTTCATGTACTGGTTCAATTTTCTGAATGCTGGATTAAGAGATGAACTAGCCTACGGCTAAAACTCTCAGTAATAAAGTTAAAATGAATAATGCTCGATAGCCAGACGAGGGAACTTTAAGGAAAAAAGTAGAACTTCCGTGTCCACCGAAACAGTTCTTGCAAGCGGGAACTACGCCCTTCTGCATTTCCTAAATAAAAGCGATACTAGCTACCAGTGCTAATCAATCACCGTTAAACTTTTGAAATTACTTCCTCGACCAGTTTCGAACAATCTCGTAACACTTTATTACTAAAATTGTTCGTAGTTTTTAAAGCACAACAAAAAATGCAATGCACTTTGGCAGATATAAAATATTCGATCATTTTAACCCACGCGCCATCTAGGCGTCGATTCCGCTTTGATGTCTCAATAGATTTTAATCAACTAAAAAAACTAAGCACAAAAACAATTAATACGGCCAATCGCGGTCCTACGTGAACCTTCCGTTCGTGCCAGGCATAGACTTTTCTACTGTTGCTATTACATCAATATTTCATACATCAGCTTGAGTGACGTTGATCCATATCACATTTTTTGTGTGTGCATCGACCAAAATAAAAACATGAAGAGGTCCGTTGAAAACCTTTTCGAATTATTTTTATCAAACGTAAAATTCTGCGAACGGTTACTCATGTCAAACCCCACCTGAAATGTGCAACATCAAAAGCGCTTATTCAGTATTGAAAGCAACGACCTACGAGCACAACTGTAAGGATATTTTTTACCTCATCTTTCATCGGTATTGGATATTTGAGCATCTTTCCCCTGGCCCGGAATGTGACCTTTCCTTAATCCTTTCACTGAACTTCTTAAATCGCTGTATGTAGGGGAAATGGATGTAATGTCGGCCTAAATGCCCCTAATATGGGCTCATACATAAATTCAGCAATCAACTAAATGACGCGTTCATCTAGATAATATTGATAAATAACAGATTTTTAGCGATGGCCTCAATCTAAGATCCATAGGCCAACATTAGAGCAATTTCCCCTATTCCCTCCATCATGCCAATTTATCTTAATTCCATCACAACTTTTCACATTCAGCTAAAAACTTTCAAAAAATATTCCTTCAACAGATTTCCAGAAACAAAACCCTCGGCCGCCACTTGACGGCCACCCGCCCAATCCGTCGCGGTGAACTCATCTACACGGATGCCCCTCTGTTGCTGGGACCAAAAATATCCAGCCTCCCGCTTTGCTTGGGTTGCCATCGAGACCTTGCGCCATTGATTGAAAGTCATCAGGTAAGTCAAATGCGATTTTAAAGGGTGTATTCGTTAAAAATGGATCACACATAAACAGCTGTAACTTTTCGACTATTCTACCAAATGCCTTGAAATTTTCAGTGAAGATGGTTTAACCCATGAGATAGGGTAGAGCGCTATTGCGTCGTAAATACCCATTTCCATATATCGATCAGAAAAGATCAATAATATCCATGATTTCACCATGCACAAATCAATAATAGGTTATTTCCGATGCGTTAGTTCATTAGCTACAACATAAATCCTATTAGAGCGCATTGTATGAATATTTACGCTCATTGTTCTCAAAACAAAAGAAGCGCTCCTAGCGAATCCTATTTTTCTACGTTTATCCGTAGGATGAAGAAAATCTAACGGCGTTTCAATGCGTTAGGACGCGATTGAAACTCGTAGAACGAATTTAGAATCAAGAAGCAGCATTAGATTTTAAACAATATCTCAACAATTTGTGACAACAATTTGTCGTGCAACTTATCAAACTTCATGGTCTTTCAAAACTTGGCAGGTAATGGCCTTATTGAGAGTCCATGGTCACCTCGGTTCTCCCGAATATGTTCCAGTGCCCTTGGGGAAGTGGTTAATTCTCAACTAGTATTAAAACCCGACATATCAAACATCACGATTTTACAAACCTTACCCGGTAATGGCCTTATTTACAGTCCACACACTAGCGCTTCCAGGCATGTGTCCAATTTCGGAAAAGAACCAAAACCCGTCGTGCAATATATCAAACTTCATGGGTTTTTCAAAAATTGGCCGGTATTAACCTTATTGACAGTCCATGGTCACATTGGTTCTCCCGAATATGATCCGAAGGCCAATTCTCATTTAGTATTAAAACCTGTCGTGCGGCATATCGAATTTCTAGTTTTTCCAGAAATTGGCCGGTAATGGCCTCATTGACAGTCCACTGGCACTCTAACACTCCCGGGCATGTTCCGATGCCTCCGAGAAAGTGACACATTCTCAACCAGAACCAAAACCCGTCGTGCGACATATCCAACTGGAGCAACCGGGGAAGCGGCCAATTTTCAACAAGAAGTTGAACTTTTCGTGCGACATATCAAACATCATGATTTTACAAAACACGGCTGGTAATGTGGTTCACGGTACCACTAGCCTTCCCGGCAATGTTCTGATCTGTATGAAATCTAACTTCATTCGAGTTGTTTGCAGAAGGACGACGGTTCTGTCCTGTGTCCCAAATGTGTTAAGTTGCCAATGTCAATCTACCCAGCAAGACACAACTTGAGTTGCCTTGAACGTTCAACCTGTACCCATACAGATTGATTATGTATACTTGTTGGGAATCTCGAGAAAACAAACTAGTCCTTTCAGCAGCCTTTTATGCGTTAGAAGAATCGGATCGTTTGCACATCCCACAGTTGTGGTTATCGTTCGGATCGGCGTTAGATGCCATCTTATGACGTTGCAACCATAGAAATCCATTCACACATACCGGTGTCGACTACTTTGGACCAATCCTGGTGAAGCAAGGCCGCAGTCTCGTCAAACGCTGGGTAGCATTGTTCACCTGCCTTTCCGTAAGAGCAGTTCATCTAGAAATCGTCCACAGCCTCACAACCCAGTCGTGCGTGATGGCCATACGTAGATTTGTGGCACGTCGAGGCGCACCAGAGTCCTTCTATTCCGATAATGGCATTAATTTTGTCGGAGCCAACAACCTGGTAACGAATCAGCTTCAGAAGATTAACGAACACTGCACGGCGTAATTTACCAGTGCTAGAACGAATTGGCAGTTCAATCCACGCTCGGTCAAAACGGCCATGGTAGCTATCAGTGATCATCCCCATCACCCCAACGACGAGGTGCTGGAAACCGTTTTACTGGAAGCTGAATCGGTTGTCAACTCCCGGCTAAAATACGTCCCGTTGGAGTCATCTGATGATGGAGCGCTCACTCCTAATCACTTCCTCTTGTACGGAATCCGTGGCATCGATCAACCCCCAACACCTTTGACCGAGGAGTAATGACGCTTCGGGACAGCTGGAAGCAAGCACAATGCCTTGTCGATCACTTCTGGGGACGATGACTTGTCGAGGCGAACGAAGTGTAGTGATCGATGAAAAGAAGCGAAATGGATGGACGAGAGACAGAATCATAGAGGTTACGGCAGGAAAGGACGGTCAGGTACGCAGAGCTGTAGTCCGCACGGCCAACGGAGTGATGGCACGACCGGCTGTGAAACTTGCATTGCTGGATGTGGCCATAGGAGTTAGGGCGGAAGGATCTGGATCAACCCGGAACTACACGGAAGGGGGACTGTTGTCGAACCCACCGCGCGACAAACGGCAACCCTGAACAACTTCGAGGTGAATTCCGGGAGCTGCCAACGCATAAAAGGCTGCTGAAAGGACTAGTTTGATTTCTCCTGCATCCGATTCTCGAGATTCCCAACAATAGTTAAAAATATTTAAAAATACCATCTTCCATGTTTGTTGGTTATCTACACTCAGGGGTAAACAGAATGCTTAGGGTATTTCGATATACTTATTTTAAATTCACGTTTTTTGGACATAAAGTAGCGTAGCATACACTTAAGTAATATGTTTTTTGGGTCAAATTGGGTTAAAAAATTTCGAGTAGTCCAAATCCGAAGTCAAATTTTACATATAATGTATTTTAAAGAGTTTTATATAAGTAGATTCTTAAGATACGCTATTGGTACACTACATTGGTGAAGGTTTTGGAAGGTTTAATGAAGATTTTAGAAAAAAAATCACCCGTCTATTCAGCAGGACACTCTAAAATAAGGAATTTGTGAGGTACTTGTCCGCTATGGTACGCTTTTCGTACACTATGAAAAGCATAATTTTATCAACATTTGTGAAAAGTGTCCTGCTGGGTAGATTGACATCAGTTGCCATTTATATTATTAATTGTGACGCAAGTTCTGAATATGAGAGCATCATCGATATTGATACGCTTTATGTTGGAAATTGGCCATTTCCCTGGGGGCATCGGAACATTTCTCGGGTGACTGGAACATACCCGGGAGACCCAATATGACCAAGGACTCTCAAAAAGGCAATTACTAGCCAAGTTCTGCCAAATCATGAAGTGTCATCAGCGTCTTGTTGAGAATTGGCTACGTTTCCCAATGTGATCATGGTTCATCTCTATAGTCGTAAAGGGTCAAATTACATCATTTGAGTGAAAAAATATTATGTTCACCGAGAAAACAGTAAAGCCGAATGCCGACCCAGAGTGACCCCAACGGAAACCGGAATACCTTCGGGATCATGTAATGATCAAAATTTTCCCTGCCATATTCAAAAACTTGAATAGATTTCCGACAAACTGCATTTTTTTGTGCAGAAAAATATTGAAAAATGAGCTAATGGAATTTTCAAATCTATGTAAATTTAGACGTTAGGCTCGGTAAAGCTAAAAATCAGGCTTGCAATTGCTCATTACAGCTAATATGTTATTGTTCGGAATTATGAAACTATGAGATACTATAACGATATTTTGTAGGAAGAGAAGGTAAACGTTGTGTATGACACTTAAAACCTGCCAATTTTGCTTCCAGAGTGTCACAATCAGCGATTAGCGATCACTGATTATAGCTAAAACCGCTAACCAGTGCTGCAAAATCTCGAATTCTACTTCGGTCACTCATTTGAGCTAACAGTCATCGTCAAGGCAAACCATGTCAATTTTCAGCTAAATTTGAAACGAGATTGAAATGACTTGGGCAAAACAATTAGATGGAGCTGTTAAAGTGCAGAAGCATCTACGTTTTGAACTACTTGGATCGAAATAAGGTGACTCTGTCGTTGACTAAAAAATGAATTAGATCAAGGTTTTTTTTAAAGGATCAATTCTATCAGTGACTATGTGATGAACAATGTTGTCAATATCGCGTGAAAGTCTGTCAATGACAATGACAAATTGCAGCACTGCCGCTTACTATCGCGTCACTTTTCAATAGGTCCTAGCTACATTGATCGATTTTCTCTTTCGTCTATTGTAAGAAAGTATTATTAGTAATATTATAAGTAACAGCTGAACGTGTTTTTGGAGGTGAGTTATCAACGAAAGATAGAGTCGACGAACAGAATCAATCAATGTAGATTGGTCTATTTAAAAAGTGTTGTGACCCTCTGAAAGTGAAATTGACAGGTTTGATGTGTAATACACAAACTGTGACTCATATTCTTGCATCTTACTTATAAAAAATATTATTATTATTTTACATAGTTTCATAATTTGGGAAAGTAGCATTTTAGCTTTAATGAGCAGCCATGAACTGTAATTAGCCATTGCAAGCTTGATTAAAACCTTAGTCAATGCTCGTACGTGAATCATGACATATTTATAACATGTTCAGTACTCTCTATAGAATCTTCTCAGAAATTTTAAAGGTATTTGGTATGCATAGTAAGATTTTTAATCTAATTTCCGTCTTACTAAGCATAACTCACACTTAACCTCTCTTTTTCGAACGGATATCAACTCAAAAATGGAGTGATATTACTATAGATGACTTTGAAATTTATTTACTTTTCTATATGTACCATTGGATTTGATTAAGAGTCACAAATTATTGAGATATTGTAAGAAATCTAACACTGCTTCTTGATTGCAAATTCGTTCTACGAGTTTCAATTTCGTCCTAACGCATTGAAACGCCATTGGTTTTCCTAGGTTTTTCTAGCCGTTTATGCGTGTGCCATTTTTATCGAATACACCCTTTACGACCGGAAGCCTTTCGAAATCCAATCAAAGCACCGTTTATTGGACAGCAAAATTTTCACCACTGTCGCCGCTGCGGTTGGCCTTTGTGTGGCCCTGGTTGCGAAACGGCTTCCCAACACGTGGAAGAATGTCGCCTGCTGGCATCGCCGTCATCGAAAGGTTTCAGACCGCAGATTAACCTCAACCGCGAGCAACCGGAACGGAAGGAATCGGCTTACTGTGTGGTGGTCCCACTGAGAGCCCTCCTACTCAAACGGAACGATCCCCAGCGCTATCGGGATGGGTTCCTGTCGCTCGAATCGCACATTGAGACGCGCATTCAAACACCGCTTTACGCGGTGATGAAATCCAATCTGATACCATTTGTGAGGAATGTCCTAGGAATGCAAGACCAGGTCCCGGAGGAGGAGGAGCTGCTGCAGATTGCCGGCATTCTGGATACCAATTGCTACGATGTGCGGCTGCCGGAGCGCGGTATTAAGATACGGGCACTGTACGAGCTGGGAGCGATGATGTCCCATCACTGTCGACCGAACACCAGGCACTATTTCGATGACGAGCTGCGTTTGGTCGTTGTGGCAACAGGTAGGTGCAGTTAGGTTAACATACTGTGTCTGCCATGGGTTTCGCAATAATGCTGATAACGTTCTTCAGCTACTGAGATTATAGGGAATCAACTGTGATGGTGGTATGGTCCAATGCGGGTAAGCTTCAACCGGTATTATCCTCGGATTAAATCCCGATCAATAATGTCCGGCTGCTCTGATGTCGAAATCAGAGTTAATCAACACAACTCTGATGAAACATTTTACAACCAAAAAAAATTGAATATTACCTACATCGAATCTGCTACACATAATTACGATGTCTAATCTAATCTTATTTAATCTAATCTAATCTAATCTAATCTAATCCAACACCAACACAGCCATATCAACGATCAATTCGAAAGTATCGATTATAAATTGGCTCACTACTTGACTAGCCTATTGGTCCCAAGCAAATCGATTAACGAACCCCATTCTAATCGAAATTCTAGTACTACACTATGTTTGTTTTGATTCGCTATGGAAGTTTGACAGATAAAATGAGGGGATCGTGGATTTTCCTATGTTTCGAGGGGTGCATCGATTAGCTTGGGACCGAAGATAGTACCAGAGCTGAGCCAAAAAGTTGAGCACATTTCTTCGGGACCTTCTGGTCTTAGAGTTACCTCTATGGCCATATACCTACATCATTTTTCTTGTCTATTTGATATATGTTTCACATCAAAGATGTGTCACACATATCAAAACGGCCAGGCCTACTGTGCAGCATTTAAGGGGCAAGATGATTCAGAAAATATCGGGCCTATTTAAATCGAAGATTTAAACACGATGCTTCAGAATCCAAAAAATGGATGAAACGTGGACATCTCGTACCGTACGATTTTGGTAATTATATGATTGATGGTCATTGGAAGCATCAAAGCTAGAAAGGTTAAGTTGAGGCTTCATTTTCTTCTGACGGTTGGGGCATGAGCACTAACTCTTGTCCTAGCCTTTTATGACTTATGGCTATAGCGCCATAACTCGCTTTCTGAAAAGAGAAGACGGAAAGGAAAAGGAGAAGGACAAAGGGAAAAGGATTATGTGAAATCTATGTACATAAACAATATTTTTGATTTGAAATATACAATATAGAAATGCATAACGGCGCGGAGGTCACTACCCGAGTCTTGTCACTAAATCCTGATTCCCTAGTTTGAAGTTATCACGACTCGGGTTCGGTGGTAGATCTTATACCAGTAACGCACCACAGAAAAGTGATCTCCCAACGTTACTGGTTTGAAAAGATAAAAATTTACAAAATGGAACGAACTCACCAAGTTTAGCCAATCGAACCTGAAGGCTGCCTGACATGTGTTGATGTAGAAGTCCAAATTGTAGACGAAGCTTGACGAAGATCAACACTGCTACACATAGTTACGATGTACACAGAAATTGCGAACAAAATTACATCCATGTAATGTCAGCCTAGCCCTTCACTTCGGCCTATCAAGCAAATAACTCCTTCGTTCAGCAATAATACACAATAGTAAAGGAAAACTAATACCACATCTGCTGTGAAATTGTTATCCGTAAATGAATTGCTTATTTTGGGAAACATTTCGAACATTTATGGCTCTTTTTCAAAGAAAAAGTTTAGTGAAATTATCATATTTTTTGATTTCTAGGCGCCATGATCTTGCCGCACTATCGAAAGTCAGTGGCATGATGCCAAATCCGGCCAGAAGATCGTCGGACCGTCGTGAGCCTTCAGGAGAGAGAGAAGCCGCTTTTGGAGACACTCTTCCAAATACACCTGTCGATTCAAGGTGCTTGCGGTAACGAAAGGTGTACTCCACTTTCCGCAAGTATAAATCGCTTGCCAAATTAAGAACTTCGTAGCGAACTTCGACATGTTCTATATTCGGAGGTTCTCGGGAACATCACACTTATCCTTGGCAGTCAAATACAGGTTTCCTGGAATCCGGTTGAAATCCGCCTTCACATCTGTCTCGTCATCCATTACGCAGCAGTGTGGTTTTGTTAACTTCTGGTCGTACAACTTCCGGGCCCGACTTTTTGGGACCGAGGGCAGTGAACAACGATGAACCGGTCATTTCCAGTTGACGATTTCACCTCCACACTAAGAGCTGATAGAAGTGTGGATGTGAGGCAGGGTGTAGAACTTGATTCCTCTCCTGACGTTGATCGCAACAACACCCCCCCCCCCCCCTCCCCTGGAGCGGGTACGATCAAGCCGAATAATGTTGTGGCCCCGGAAACAGCAGCTGTCGCCGGACTTGAGGTGAGTCTCGGTGATCAACCATCTGTCCTTCTTGCGTCCTGGTTGCCACCTGCTTTCGGTAGCGTTTAAAGTCTTCGCGTTTGGAGCACTGTCTGTCGGAGCCTTGATGAGCACCATATGGCGCATTTTAACGTCACGGCTTCATCCGCAGGGCAGTTAGATGTGGCGTGTTCTTGAGCGCAGTTGCTCCATAGTGGCTTGATGTTGCAGTTGCGGGTACCGTGACCAAAATTGAGGCACCGCTGGCACTGCGTTACGTCACGATGGCCGCCACGGTATGGCTCCCATCGGACAATGATGGAGTAGATCGAGCGGATAACTTACAGCGCATCGAGCGTCACCCTCCCTTTCTGGAAGTGCACCAGGAAAAGACAATCCGCGTACATCTTCACGATTTCGTCTCTCCTCGACCGGATGGCAGTGATTGGGGCCAGCTTATACCGGTCCTTGATTTCGGCTTCGATCATCTTGGGGTCAAAGTTTGGTAAGCCCATGATGACTACCTTGAAGGGCTTCTCACTAGGGATGCCATGCGTGAAATATTCCGCCTTGGAATCCATCGCCAGCGATGTGAAATCGCCAACGAGCGTGTTGAGTGGCACTTTCTTCCCCACCAGTGGGGGAAGCTTCATTTTTGCCGCACTCGGGCCGACAGAATTCTCGTTGTTGACGGCGTGGCCGAAATCACCGATGACGCTGACGTTTGTCGCGGTGGCATCGTCACGTCCACTCGCACCAACGGACTGGCCTTGATTTTTCTTTCTCTTCTTGGTCTGCTTCACCGTAACGGAAGTGGTATTCCCAACATCGGTGGGAAAAGTAGCGTACCTATTCGAAATAGGTACACTCGAGCAACCCTCACCAGTATCAGTAGTGTTCTTCTTTTCCATTTTGCGAGTCTGCTCCGGGAGCGCTGCCTTCCCATCACACGACCAACACAACTCACGACGCGAATAAACGCGCACTAAACCTGCGAACGTTTGGAACAAACTGGAAACTTATCGAACAACTCGGCAGAGCGAGCAAAAACCGAACTAAACTGCTTGACTGGCAAGCAGAGAATGACTGGTTGAAGACGGTGACGAGACCCAGCAATTTTCCGACCAGTCCAAAATATTCACCCATGGAAAACACTAGCAACAATTCCGATATCACGTTCGCGATTCGTCGGATTATGTTGACGATGAGAAGCGTGATCCTAGATCAATCCGCAGTACAGTATCTTATGCTACGTTCAGACTACAGAGTTCTAACATATTTTAGCGCTATCTTGATGTTTGTTTCTGTGTTGCAATTATTTGACAACCGTTATAACATGTTATAACTCTCCCGTCCGTACAGCGTTTTAAGCACTGTCCAGTCTGAGCATCAACGCCCAACAAACAAGGATAATTTTCGATTTGGTCTTTGCACATTACATGCATGGATACGTTTTTATGAATATTTCCTTCACATCTCGTATCGTTTGGATATCAAAAAATGGCAAGCCAGAGGAGCTGATAATGAGGCAATGCGACAGAGGAAGAAACAAATACAAGACGGAAACAGTGCACGCCGCTTCTTCCAGAACTGGGAGAAGTTAGCTGAGATCACCGGATTGAACCCTGCATTGCTATATAGATGCAAAATAATACTAGAAGTTCTGGCTTCGGGATTGGAAATTGACTCTCAAAAGTTTGAAGAGTATTGTTTTGAAACGGCAAGAGAATTAATCAAGAATTACCCCTGGTTTTATCTCCCGGTGACTGTACACAAAGTTCTTATGCATGGATCTCAGATCATAAGCCATTTTCTTGTGCCAATTGGGCAATTATCGGAAGAGGTCCAAGAATGTCGGAATAAGGACATTAAGCGATATCGATTGGACAACACATGAAAATTTTCACGGACAGCAACAAACACAGACCTGTTAAATCGGCTCCTAGAATCGTCTGATCCCCTCATCTCCGCGTTAAGGGCACTCCCTGACAAAAAACAAATGCCACTGTCAGAAGATGCCAGACCTCTTCTTCTTGATTCAGCTTATTCCGATGCTGGTGACAGCGACGAGGACAGCATTGATACTGGAACCGATGATGAACGCTGCTAATTTTCAATGTATCTTTTATTTTAGTTTTTTTTTTCTTAATTTATGGTATCAGGACTAATCGACACAACATACGTTAATCTATTCATGATTTTAGATGGCATTTTTTCAAATTCACTGATGCATTAAAAATATATTATCCATATAAAGAGACGCACAAACGTATTTTATTTAATGCTGAACGTTTTTAATTATTTAATTTTAATTACAATGTAGCACATTGTTGTGTTGATGCGCCAGCTAAACGTTTTTATCATGGCTTGCTAGGATCATGATGTGAAGCCGAAAAAGCTATTCAGTGTTGTTTGAATGAGAGATGACGTGTTGTAGAGGTTGGATGTTGTTGGTAGTATGGCAAATGTATTTCTAACATGCCAAGCGTAGAACCTATCATAACCTAAATAAACCACTTGTATTTTGTAGTTCAAAGGCATACTTTTTGAATGAAGATGGTTTGGCTTGCCCGTATTTGCCCGTTCTCGAGAAATTTTGCGTAGAAAATGACCTATTTTTATGTTAAAATTCTAAATAAATTTTGATAGGTTCATAATAACAACCTAATATTTTCACGTAAAATGTGTGTTTTGATGATATCTACAACTTTTTAGAACAAATCATACTGCTAAAATAAAATTTTGAACATTTTTTCTAACAAAAAATAATTTTT